GTACCATGGACTGCCAAGAAAACAAACAGATTCATCCTGGAGAGGGTTAAACCAGGCTGCTTCTTGGAGGCAAGGATTCTGGGGCTTCGTCTGACATACTTTGGACATGCTGTAAGGACCAGTCCTCGGAAAGGGACATCATGCTTGGGAGGGTGGAGGGACAGTGCAAGAGGGGAAGACCCTCTATGAGGTGGATTGATTCAATGACTGAGGTAATTGGGGTGGGTGTGTTGGAGACAGTGTGATTGGCACAGGACAGAGCAGAATTTAGGGCTGTTACACACAGGGTCGTTATGAGTCACAAGCTACTCGATGGTACATAGCAACAACATAACAACCTGTGTAAACTTTTACTGAAAACACAAAAAAGTACTATTTTTAAAGCAAGTGAACCAACATAAAGAGAACCTCTTCAAAGCATCAGGAAAGAAGCAAGTTCTCAAAAGAAGGCAATCCTTGTTCAGATTAACAATAAATTTATCACTAGAAACCATGGTGATCAGACAGTGGAATTACATTTAAAATCCTGAAGGGCAAAAACTATTTCCAAAAATGAAAACATTCCCAGGTGAGAAAAAGTTAGTTTGTTGTTAGTAAACTTACCTTAGAAGAAATATGAAAAGGAGTCTTTAGGCTGAAATGGAAGAATTTACCCAGTAACTCAACACCACCCGCAGAACTTTTTAAAGGTGCATGTTCAAGTCAGTGTGAAAAGACTAAGAATTTATTAAGAAATTGAAATGTTAAAAATTAATATTGTTGGGTCAGTTGGCCATTCAACTAGAAGAAAACCAGTTGTTGTTTGTTGTTGTTCAGTGCCATCAAGTTGCCAGCAATTCATAGCAACCCTATGAACAATAGCTCTCAACTCTGCTCTGTCCAGAGCCAGCCTCACTGTTTTTGACACACCTAGCCATATTAACCCAGTTACTGTGTCAATCCATCTTATCCAGATCTTCCTCTCTTGCACTGTCGCTCTTCACTTCCAAGAATGATGTCCTTATCCAGGGACTGGTCCCTCCTGGCCATGTGCCCAAAATATATGAGACAGCTTCAAAAACCTTTCCTCAAAGAAGCAGCCTGGTTTCACCCTCACCAGAACAAACTTGTTTGTTCTCTTGACAGTCCATGATATATTCAATACTCTCATCCAGCACTCAACTCAAAGGCATCAATTCTTCTGTCATCTTTAGTCATTGTCCAGCTCTCTTATAAATAGCAAGTAATTGTGAAGCATATGGCTTGAATCAGGTATACCTTAGTCTGTAGACTGACATTGTTGTTCTTCAGCACTTTTTAGAGGTCCCTGACAGCAGCCTTCCCCAGAGCAATTAATATTTTTATTTCTTGACTGTGGGAGCCAAGAGTGTTGATGGTGGAACTGAGCAAGCTGAAATTGTTAACAACTTCAATCTCTTCTTAATCTATCATGGTTTTGCCAATTGCTCCAGTGGTGTCATTTTTTGTTTCTTGAGTTTGGCTTCAATCCATACTGAAGACTGCAGTGCTTGACTCTCTGCAGTAAATACTTCAGATCCTCTTCAGTTTCTGTGAGCAAGTTTGTATCATCTGCATAATGTAAGTTGTTGATGAGTCTTTCTCCAATCCTGATGCCACATTTCCCCTGAAAAGTCTAGCCTCGTGAATGATCTGTTTTGCATGTAGATTTATAAGGTATGGAGATGGATGAATCCCTGGCACACTCCTTTTCTGATTTTAAACCATGCAGTGTTTCCTTACTTTGTTCTGAGGACTGCTTCCTGGTCCAAGAATAGGTTTTGCATAAGCACAATCAAGGATTCTTATTCTTATTCTTCTTAAGGTAGCTACAATTCATTGTGATCCACACAGTCAAATGCCTTTGCATAGTTAATGAAACATAGACGATAGACATTTCTCTGGTATTCTCTGCTTTCAGTCAAGCTCCATATGACATTGACGATAATGTTTCTCATGTCACTGACTCTTCTAAACCTGGCCTGTATTTCTGGTAGTTCTCTATTAATATACTGTTCCAGTCAGTGATTTAAAACAAAACAAAGCAACATAACACAACTCATTGCTACTTAGTTGGCATCAACTTATAGCAGACCCTCACTGAGTTTCTAAAAGCTATAAATCATGCGGGGAAGAAAATTACCTTCCCCCCCCCACACACACACACACACAGAAAATTACCATCTTTTTCCCACAGAGCAGCTAATGAATTCACAATGGCAGCCTTGGCCTCAGTACCCACAAGGCTACCAGAGCTCAAAATGATTACAACATTATAAAAAAGAAATTTCCATTAGATTTAGCATCTAAGTGTAAAAGAATTGGAAAATGTTATAAAGAACCAGATCCAAAATTCTGGAGTCAATGTTTCTCCAAACCATGTAAGAATGATAGATGGGAATATATGGAAATTTTGTACTTTGCCACTGTGAAACAATGTTAAAAGACAAACTGATAAGTGTGAGGGAGAATAAAGTATGCCTGTATTCATTATTCACTCTGCTAAAATTAGTAGCAGACCAATTATAAGAAGTGCAGAGTCCGTAGTATCCCAAATGTTTGATTTCCAAATCTGTGATTTCCAAAGTCATCAGTCCCTCCTTCATTCAGTTCCCTCTCTTCTCTATGTCCCTTGGGTTTGATGGTTCAATGGAAGATCTCCCAGAGACTCAGACTTGTCAGGGGAGTGACTCACATGACTGTTGATAAGCAGGCTGGTTTTGCAGAGAGTGATGAGTGTTGCAGAATATCAGCTGAAGTGTACCAGGAAAGCAGGAATTCCCAAAAGAGGGCTAACATGGAGGTCCCAGTAACTAATATAAGCTTCTAGTAGGATAGAGTGTCAGGTCTTTCACTCTTAGTGTCACTATGAGTCGTCTATGACTCGATGGCACTTAACAACAACAACAGTAGGGTAGATCTTGTATCCCACTCTAATCTCCTTTCTTTAATACAATAAGTACTTCAGCACAAAACAAACAGTTAATCAAAGACTAGGAAAGACATTTTGAACCACAAACTTTTGACACCACAATGCCACATATAAATCATAATGAAAATCTGCAAGTATGAAGTAGGTGGAGTACTGAGGAGCATATTGTTGTTTTTGTGAATCACACATAGGATACACATCTTCCCATAAAGTCAGACAAGTCAAAGAAACAGGTTAGGTAGATAATGAACTAGTAGCAGCCAAGTTGTTGAATTCGACTCGTGGTGACTGTAAGGTTTCTGAAGGACATAACTCCGTTCAGGCCAAGAAAGAAAGTTTATTGAGGAGAAACTGCCGGGCTGACTCCCAAGTAGAAACCAGCATCTACATAGAATGGGGTTTTATATTGTGTTACAAAGAAATGGCGGGAGGGTATTGTAGACAGCTGCTTGTTGTTAGAAGACAAGGAAGCAAGTTGGGGGTTGTAGATAATTATGCCTGGGAAAGAGAGGAGGAATAATTTTGTGGCCCTAACAGAGATAAACAGAGTTGGAAATGCTGCTTCATGTGGTTTGATTCTTTCTGTGGCTATTCTGGGAAAGGGAGGGAGAACGGCTCTGTGACCCTTGCTGTGGTTATAAAACATGATATCTTGCTTCTGAGATTGATCACTCCCAATGACATATCCAGCCAGGGACATTTGGTGGTCTAGTCTGTAGGGGAGTTGTTTTGCTAACCCAAAGATCTCCCTGATAGTTCAAATCCACTAAGAGCATCTCAGGAGAAAGATGGGCAATCTCTTCCGGAAGGATTTGCAGCCTATGAAAACCAATGGAAGATCAGTTTTGAGTCACTTCCAACCCAATGGCAGTGAGAATGATATATCCAAAACAAGGAAGCTGGACAAATTTCGGTGTGATCCATAGAGTTTAGCAATTTTTACAAGTATACTGTCTTTGTCTGGAAGTTCTCCTGAAACCAATCTACCCATATGACCTGGCTGATACTTTAAATACTGTAGACATAGCTTATAGCATCACAAAATCAATACCAATTGATTCTACAAATTTGACAGAAGGTGGCCAACTCCATCACAGCTGTCTAAGTTAGGTGAGGGGATTTGGGTGATTATTTTCTTTCTTCTCTACATTTTCTCGAAAGTTTTCAATTATTCTTATAATAACTGCATGCTACGTTTTCATTTAAAATTTAATACATTATCAGGCAAGAAGCTGCACTGCAATAACAGAGGTATGCGGTTTGAATCCACCAGATGCTCTTCTGGAGAAGGAGGGGGCAATCTCCTCTTGTACCAGTCAGAGCTGATTTGACCATACACACACACAATATAATAATAAAACTTAAAAAAATAAAATTTAATACATTTTCTGACTCCAATCAAAAAGTCTATATTGTTCCTTGTTTGAAATGTTTCTTTTAGCAGCTTTATTTTAGTACATGATGGGAAGGCACTGCTTTTTGTTTTTTGCTTCCTTTTATCGCCACGGTACTTTATTATAGAGTCCTTAATGTTGTTGGTGTGTACCAGAGTCAGAACAGACCCATAGCTGACCAAACCCGACCTGCAGCAGGTTTTCGGAGGCAGTTAATCACACCAGAGGAGACTGCCCACTTTTCTCCCTTGAAGCATGTGGCCTCGAATCACATGCCCTCGGGATTGAAGCGCAGCTTCTTGCCATCAGACCACCAAGAGTCCTTAACAGATATTAAAGGTAAATTCTCACAGATTGGATAAAATAATGTGAGCCAATAGGTGAGAAATCTGAATAAAAACAATTAGCACTTTACACTTCCTCATTACACAGTTCTCATTATCCTCTATCCCAGTGCTATCTGTATAACTCATCCCATCCAGTCAATGCAAACAACATGCAAGTATTCATTCCTTGCGCCCGCGTCAGCGTGGCTCCAGCGTGTCCACGTTCCTGGCCCGCATGGGAACGCCCTTCGCCCCCGCCCCATCGCATGTTGTGTTGTTATCACGTGGCCTAGATGGCTCTGACGTCACGTTAGGGGGAGGGCCTGCGCACGCGCAGAAAAGGGGGCGGGGGACTCGGCTTGTTGTGCTGCTGCCGAGAACCAGACACGGTCCTGCAGCGGCAGCAGATCTTACAGCCGCCTGACAATGTCGTCTAATTTAGTAGAGCAGCCGCCACCCCTGCACAACAACAACAATAACTGCGAAGAAAGCGAGCAGTCTTTGCCGCCTCCAGCCGGCCTCAACAGTGAGTGCTGGCCCGGCGGGATTGGTAAAAGGGGATGGGGGAGGAGGAGCTGGTCTGGCCGCCACCACAAGCTTAGTGCGGGGGGTGGGGGGGGGAGGCGCGGGAGAAGAAAGCAGCCTATTGGTCAAGGCCAAGGATGTTCAGGTGACTGACAGCTTCCATCACCTGTCAGGATGAGTTGCTCTTGTCTTCCTCTTCGCCTGCTTCCCTTCTCTTCTAGGATTTTGAGTTGGGGACTGTTTCTGTTCGGTGTTGTGGCATTCAGGTGGGTGGGAATAGGCGAGGGTTCTAATGCCCAGTGGCCTGCCTGACGCGGCGCTTCCACCTGTGGTGGGACCGCTGAAGTGGAGCCAATCGAGGCCTGGAGGGGGCGGGCCTTCGAAGCGTGAGGAGGAAGGAAAGGGCGGGGAAGGTGGGCGGAGCGGGCCGCGGTGGGGACGTGGGAAGTGATGGGGACGTGCGGTGGAGACGCTGGGGGATGGACGGGCGGGCGGAGGGCAACTGAGGAGGGGAGGGCGACCGAGGGGAGGAGAACTGAGGGACGTGTCCGCCCTCAGGTGTGCAATGGAGCTTGATTCACTGCATCAGCCAGCTAGCATCGCTGATTTGGGCTTCCCCTGTGGGGTTTGGAACTTGAGCCCTGTGGTTGCGTTCTTTTGTTAATACAATCTCGGGAAAATCCAGTTGGTAATTTAATGGTTATTTCAATCACTTGTGGAGGCGAGGAGACTGTGTTAATATTTGGGGTAATGGGAGGAGGAGGAGTTTTTTCCAAAGTTGCTGAAGTAATGTTTTAAACGATTAGATTGTCTGCCAGGAAACCTGTTTATAAACATCCTCCTGAACTGCCCAAGATTACATCAATCACGTCCGAGGAAATGAATTTTCCGAAATGGAATTTAAAACACTCGGACACACGAACAGTTGAATGTTAATGATCAGTATTGAGTTAAGACCAACTCCAGTTGCTTCATGACATTCTTGTGCATAGACATCTCGTCCTAATGTTATTTCCAGTTGTTTTTAAATCTCAGCCGTTTTGAAAAGTTCCTTGTCTTTCTGTAATGCATCCCGTATGAAAGAGATAGTAGAGATAGTTAGCATATGGCTCGATAAAAGAATTTAAACATTATAATGTTGCTTAAAATACATTTGAAGGAGTTTCAGAATCTTGTAAAAAGTCCTTCCAAACATTTTAGGGAAAGATTTCCTGTTCTGAAAAGTTAGGCAGTTTAATTTGGATATTTTAAGTTGTATTTCATTTTTTGTTGTTGTTTTTCTGTAATTTTGTTGTTCAAACTATAAAAAAAGTTATTGCGGTGGAGTCAGAACCAACACACAGCTGACTCTTAAAAGTCTCTGCAAAAAAAAGTCTCTGCAAGGGCTTCAATGCTGTAAATAGTGTGGAAGGACATTCCTATCTTTCTCCCCTGGAGCCATGGAGGCAATGCTTTGGGTTAGCAGCATTTCTCAGGGATTTGATCAGCACAGCTTACCATAACTAATTAAGATGAACTATTGTTCGGCTTTAAGGTGACTTGAAGGGAATGTTTTTCTAGGTGGTGATATTTGCAGAACGTCTCTTGGAAAGATAAGTGGATTCGAACCACCAACTGTTAAATTAATTCTTTGAGTGTTTTAAAAATATGTATTTGTTGTTATGTCCCTCTGCGTCAGAACAGTCAGAACCGACTCATAGCTGAGTTTTAAAGAGGGTTTTCAAAGGCTGTAAATCACGGGAGGATATTTCATCTTTCCGCTGGGGAGCAGGGAGTGGATTTGAGCCCTTTGCCTTAGAGTTGGAAAGCCAGTCCTTAACCAAGGCAGCTAGAGTTGTGTGTATTTTGCCTTTTAAAGGCCTTATGATTTTATACTCTAAAATGTTTCATTTCTTGCAGTAAATGAGGATTGATTTATGTACTTTTAAATATTGTTATCTGTGGCAAGTTGGAACTAGTAGCTGACCTTCAGTTTTTCAGGGACAGTTGCATGGGAGGAGATTGTAATTTCTCGCCCACAAAGTGGCTGGTGGATTCAAACCATTTAGCACAATTTCTTACCACTAAGTCACCAGAGCTCCCTCATAAATATTGTTGTTCTGTGCCGCCAAGTTGGAACTGACTCATAACTGAATCTCCAGTGGGTTTTCAGAGAACGCTCATCTCTTTCCCACGGAGCAGCTGGTGGATTCAAAGTGCGGGCTTTTGAGTTGGCAGTGCAGCTCCTTACCAATGGACCACTTGACCTCCCTTTTAAATGTTAGATATTTAAAATAATAATAAATTTTAAGAGATTTGCCATTTTTTAGCATACACCCAACAGAAGCATAAAATTGAGAAAGAGTAGGAACGTTTTAGAAATAGCTTGTCTCCTCTTATTTAAACAGGCAGAGAAACTGAGGTTAGAGTTTATGTAGAGTTGTCTTGCCCAAATTTCACCGCAGGCTAGGATTTAGAGCTCAGGTTCTGACTTAGAACCAATCTAGTACTCCTTGGGTACACTTATTTTTCCTTTGTGCTGTTTAACTCTTGGAAGCAGGAGTGGCATCTGCTTCCTAAATAACATGCCTCTGGAAACTATGAACTTTGATAAATGTCAATAGTTGTAGAGGAAATTCAGGCTTTTTGTTCATAGGGTTGCTATGAGTCATGCTCAACTCAAGACAATCAACAGCTGTTTAACCCAATGTACAGAGGTGATCTGCGTGTTTTAAAATATTTTATTCTTTGATTGCCTTCATAATTGATTTTACAGAAAACAATAAGATTTTTGTTTTCCTTTGTCAAAAAAAAAGTAAGATTGAGCTCTTGTGATTGCTTGTGCTTGTGTCTGTCAGATCTGTGAACTGTTTGATGTCCTTGGCCACTCAGTGGTTACTGTGTTTATATTAGCTCTTAGTAAAGTGACAGGATAGTTAGCCTACCTATGATATCAGTGTTTCTTTGGAATATCTACTGGATAAAAAATATCTTTCTAGGGTTGGAGAGAGCTTTTAAAAGATACCGAAAAGCTCTCTAGATAATGCCATATTTAATTTCTCTCCTCTTCTAACTCTGCTCCTTGTTTTGGGCTCATTACACAACGCTGGGCTGAACAAAACAAGCCTTATTGATTTCTTCAAGTGTGAGCAAAACAACTTAGTCAGGCATCTAAAACTATCCAAGTTGCAGATAAATTGAAATACTTTGCTGTGTAACTTTGCACAACTAAGAAAAATAGAAGGTGAAACTGTACAGATTCTCAGTGGTATGGGCTGTAATCTTTAGCTCAAGAGTCAAAAACAAAATACAGGGTTTAGTTTGGTTTGTTTTTTTTTAAAAAAGGCAAATTATTGAAGTATTTAGAATAATGAAGCCCTGATTTTTAATTATTTATTAACTTTACTGCTGTAGGCAAACTGTTCACATTCATTACAAATCTGTGGGCAAATAGCTGAATTATATAATATGTCCCAAGTTAAAGGAATATTTTCTAGCTGCTATTATGTTATAAAAACTCAGGAAGTCTATATGTAAAAATTGACTGATGGGACTGGGAATAAGAAGATGGAATGAGAGTTACTATTATGGATGTTTACATTTTGGAGGAAAATGTTTTTCTTAAATGGGGAGAATTTACTTAACACAACATGATTTCAGTCACTGTTAAAATGATACTGTACAGTTTAGTGACATTAGTAATGTTCCCCATGTTGTGCAACAATCACACCTTTTTGTTTCCAGTTTTTCGTCACTCTTAACAGAAACTGTGACCCTTAAGTGAACACATTTTTTTTAAAATTTTTATTTTTTATTGTGTGTGTGTGTGTGTGTGTGTGTGTGTGTGTGTACCATCAAATCAGATTTGACTGGTACAGGAGGAGATTGTTCCTCCCTCTCCAGCAAAACATCTGGTGGATTTGAACCGCACAACCTCTGGGATTGCAGTGCAGCTTCTTGCCACTAGGCCACCAGAGCTCACCGAACACATTACTTTTGTAATATATTTTTTTAAAACGGTATTCATTCTAGCAAACCTTTCTAGAAATGATTCTATATAACAGAAATAGAGCTTTGGTTGCCTAGAGCGTAAGGAGTTGTAATGCCAACCCCAAAGCAGGCAGTTCTAATCCCCCAGCTATGCCACTGGCGAAAGAAGGGCAGTCCTCCCTTGTGATTTACAGCCTCAGAAAACATGCCGGAGGGCTAACTGAATTTGTTACTACTCAATGATATGTAACAACAGCATATACTAAGAATCTTTCCTATTGTTCTATGTACTTTGTTCTTTGAACTTTGTAACACTCAAAAGAGGTAAATGCAATTACTGTCCCCTCTTTTAGCAAAAATTCACCCTGGTGGCACAGTGGTTAATGTACATGATTAGGCAGTTTAAACTACCAGTTTTTCATTGGGAGAAAAATACATCAAGCTTCTTCCATACAGAGCTATAACCTTGGAAACCATTTAGACAGTTTTACTTTGCCGAATAGGGTCACTGTAAGTTGCAATCTACTCTATTGTAGTTGGTTTTATAAAAATAAGGCAACTGAGAATCAAAGAGGTTAAGTAAATAAATGTACATGCTGTATAATAGCTGATAAGAGGTGGAATGGGAGTCTGCCTTCATCTGTGTTCTTAACCACTATAGTGACATATGCCAACGAACACTGCCGTAGTAACATTTTAGTTGTGTTCCAAGATATTGAGGTAACCGTAGAGCTTATTTTTATTAAAGTTTCTAACTATAGCTTTTTTTTTTTTAACTATAGCTTTTTAAGTTACCAAAATATATGTTGTATGGTGGTTAACATTTTTAGGGCAGAAAGTAGAATTCAGATATTAGTTTGAAAGACTTTCAGAAAATTAAGGTTCAAGGAACCTGCTATTGCTTGCTTATAGCTTCTTTTTCTCTGAACAAAAACTTGAAGTGAATGTTAGTTGTATTTTAGGGAAGATTGCTTTTTATATATTGGATTTCTATACAAGAAGAAAGTAGTTTGGCGGCATAGTGCATAAGGT